TTACCCTGGTCAAGAAGCCTGCTTCGAAAAGCTTAGAGATATACTCTCATATGTAAGAACCATTTATTCAATGCTTTCCCTTATGTTTATTATTCTGCCTTCCAGATCTTACTTTAAACTGCATAAGGGACGTTGAATTTACATACCGAAGATTTGCCAATAATATTTCCTTAATGATACAGATGATCAAGGATTCCCTGTTAATTCTATTCGCTTGTTCTTCATTATAAGAGATTCTAGTGATGATGACATGATCTCTGCACCAAATCTGACCTTCAAATTTTAAAGAAGAGGATATTTTTTCTACAAAACTCTGTACAGTGGACATGCTAAGTGTGTGTGGATTGGTCACACAACAAGATACTCCCTCCGTCCCAGAGTATTTGTCCACTTTCATTTTTACACACCATCCAATGCACTTCTTTAATCCATTTTATCTTGTAATTTGTATATTAAAAAATTATAGAAATTATATATTAATTATCTATATGTTAAAACAAATCAAACAAGATCACACATGACTATATTTAGGCTTACACATTGAGAGAATTTGACGAGTCAAAGTGCTTAGATGAACAGTTCCAAAAGTCAAAAGTGGACAAAAGCTGGGGGACGGAGGAAGTAATTAAATAAATCTATACCCGAACCCATAAATTGGGTGCAAGTATGGAGGATTTAAAATATATGCTCCAGGCCCAGTAAAATGGTTCATTTTCTATTCTTAGTAGCTAGGTAGTGCATATTCAATGCCCAAATATGACCATGACATTTTTTGCTGTTTAGGGAACAGTATATGATTCACTTTTTTGCCTTGGCCCATTGTTACTGACTGAAATTCAGTATAAGGAACGTAGAGAAAGTAGTAATAGTTCTGGTAATAATTTTCTCTTGTTTGAAGTTAAGGAAATTTTAAAGGATTCAAGTCTGCTGGATTTTGTATCAGGTTGTGCCGTCACACTACACTCAAAATACTGGAGGCGGAAGGGTTGTGTGTATAATCTTACAGATTATGAAGCAGTTCTGAGGTCCATTAAGGGGTGTAAAGATGTTGAGTGTGAAGAAATACCTTGGGGAACACTTAATGTAGTTGAAAAGCTTTCACATTCCATCATTCCTGGGAGATGGATACCTTGCAGGCCAGAGCATCTTCCAGATGAGAAGGTCAATGAGTTGATTAACGGACTTCCTAAAACATTGCTAGACACCCTTCTACCTTTTCAGC